CTTTACTGGTCTACTTATAGGACTCAAAAATGAACTTGAGGAAGAGTCTAAAAAACTCTCTGCTTTGCCACTATGCCCAAGTTTTATAACTTGTTTTCAGCTTCCATCTTCAGAATAGCAAAATCATTTGAACTGAAATATTGTAGCACTAGAACAGCTGTAAAATTATAAATGATAATTTAGTATCAACTTCCATAACTTGTTTCTTCACAACAATCACAACTGACAACTAGGCTACTACTAGTCTACAACCATTAATTTGTCATGTAAAAAATACGATTGAAGTCTGACACTGACAGTCGTACTGTTTTTCATCTGAAGCTATAATAATAGGCGAATATTATCTAAACAAACTGAACCGTCTAAAGAAATATATTAAACAGAAATATAACTCGAAAACAACTTGCAATATCTTACCTACTTCTAGCATTCCTTTATTTACCACTCGTTTATTGACTTCACACACATCAAGTGCTACTATTCCAACCAAACTAAGAAAAGCCGATAATGATTCCTTAATTATTACCACTTAAGTAATTCCGTTTCTAGTAAAATTAACAAACAACCCTTTCATTAAGATAAAATCAACCAAAATATTCAGTGTAAGCAACTCTGAATAATTATTCGAACTACTGATTTCGGAAATTAATTTTTTTGCCTTTCCATTCTGATACGATGTTAGGAATCTTTTTAATCCTACTGCCCAGCTGTTTCCCTAAAAGACGTTTAAAACATTGTTTACGACATTTCAAAATTTTGTGCCAAATAAAGCAACAAATGTGAAATTAAAATACTTGATATTCGCATATGCATTTAGAATCACTAAAACAAATTTTATTTATCACCATATTATATATTTCATAATGGATCTCTATCATCTGAGCTGGACATGTCATATATTCAATTACTGGCCATAGTTTATTCGATATCGATGTAAGATGATATTTTTAACTGGCAAAGGATTGCAGATTGATATATGATTATCTGTTGCGATTATGTTTATTATTAATTTATTACCTTATCCAGTTATTTATCACCTCACCCCCCTTCTACTTTTTCTTCATTCATTTTACACTTTTTTCCTTTATAATACACACATCTCCCAACAATGTCTCTCATTCGCTTTAGATTACAAAGTTATCTAAAGCGAAATT